TCACTCCTCCCCACCCGGTGGGATGGGGGAGAGAATTGGAAAAGTAAAAGTGAGAAAACTCGTGGGTTGAGATAAAAACAGTTTAATAATTGAAATAAAATAAAATAAGAATAACAACAACAACAACAATAAAAGAATATACAAAGCAAGTGATGCACGATGCAGTTGCTCACCACCCGCCGACCGATGCCCAGCCAGTCCCTGAGCAGCAGCCCCCCGGCCAGCTTTCCCCAGTTTCTGTGCTGAGCATGACGTCACACGGTATGGAATGTCCTTTTGGCCAGTTGGGGTCGGCTGTCCTGGCTGTGCCCCCTCCCAGCTTCTTGTGCACCTCCAGCCTTCTCAGTCAGTAGAGCATGCGGAGCTGAAAAGTCCTTGACTAGTGTAAGCACTGCTCAGCAACAACTAAAACATCGGTGTGTTGTCAACTTTGTTCTCATCCTAAATCCAAAACACAGCACTGTACCAGCTACTAGGAAGAAAATTAACTCCATCCCAGCCGAAACCAGGACAACCACAACACATTGTAATCATTTTGTTCCTCTTATCTAGGTTTTCACTGTACTGCGTAAGTTCCTTGGGTGAGAAAACAAGTTGATTCTCTCGCTGGCCTTTGCACCAGACAGAGGACGGGGGCTCTGCGCGTGACTTGACCCTCAGTTCCATGCTTTTGCAGGCAGACTTTCTTCTTATGTATTTGAAAAAGTTTCTTGCACATTTTGGTAGCTGACATAACATGAACTTCTCCAGCCTGCTTAAAAAAATATAACTTCGATTTACTTTTTGTGAAAACAAACAGATTAAGAGCTAAGAGACATGCCTCATGCCAATCCTAACACGTAAATCAACTTTGGCTGCAACCTGTGCAACTGGGAGTGCACAATCCAGTTCAGAATAGTATTTACAGCACAGTTGGAAGCTAATCCTTGCCTAAGTAGCTACCCTGGAGTATCCTGTATTGTACTAGCAACATCGTTCTTGGATCAAAAACTCATAGACGTGGCTTAGCCCATAAATGACTGCCTTATGAAACGAGAGGTTTTTATCCTCTGATTCTTTGTACAACTGAAGTGCCGGTTTGACTATGAAAAATCAAAAGCTTGTATTTACATACTGATGTTCCTTCGGTGACATGCAAGCAGACAGGGCCCCCACCCCAGAGCCTGAGCCAAGCTCCAGCGTATTAATGTTTTATGTAGATACTCAGCTCTGTCTGTATATATGTCCTTGCTGGACTAGGGAATAACTGTACATAGCAGTTTCTTAATAGACACTTTAATTCTAATTTAGGTACAGAACCCCAAAAGCAGCCCACAGAAATAATACTGCTGTATCACAGTAGCTGAAAAAGTCCTTCCAAGAAAAAAAGCAAAAAAAGCAAAATATTGTACTTTGAAGACAAAGTAGCTATGACAACAGAGCATATGATACTTGTTTCTCCATCACTGTGAAATATTGCATAGTTTTCAGTTTCAGCAGTCAAAAGATCATGGTTTGCCACTTGTTCAAACATGCTGGCATCTGTGTTACACATTGTATTGTTATCAAAAGCCTATTTTGCCCGCTTACAAATACTGTAACCGAATCTTTCTATAGATTTGCTTTTGGCTCCCTTACTGCTCTTCATCTAGAATTCATTGTTTTGGGAGGAACTCATGAGTTAAAGACTTTTGGGCATCCTGCCATTTTATTACACAAGACACTAAGCAGTGAGGGAAGGGAACTTGCTGGAGAATAATTGGTTTTAGAATGGATGGCTGAATTACTTTTCTTGGTGAGAAATACGTGGGGGGAGAAGGAAACCCACTTAGTGCTTTTGCATTCACTTGTACCAACTTTGCATAAGGAAAGCTTTCTCAGCCCTGAGCAACTTGGTCTGAGCTCAGAGCTGAGCCTGTTTTGAGCAGGAGGTTGGACCACAGATCTCCTGAAGTCCCTTCCAACCTGAATTGTTTCATGACTGTGTGAGGATTGAACTGTTACTGATCTAAGCAAATGAATCTGTAGATGTTTTCCAAGCTTGACAGATGGTCTGAGCAGGACACCTTTCTTTAAGAAGAATGTTCTCCACTAACATGCAGTACTCTGGGGTCACCTAAAGGCCCACATGAATGGCAAGATGGGTTATTGAAAGCAAACTTGTAAGGGAAAAAATGGGCCTCTGACAATGACGACCTTCTCATCACTTCATATAACATAAAGGAGTAGCAACTGATGGCTGGGCCTCATCCTGACAACTGGGCTGCATCCACCCCAGATGAACCAAAATCTGCACCTGAACAGTACCGCTCTCCTTCAATGATAATAAAAACTATAAATACATCGTGTAAACACACACACACAGCCAGAGTGTATAGATCTCAAACAGTCGTGAAATTATACCCTTGATGAAGTCAGTAAAACCTTTTTCATGCTGCACTTCTGAAAATCAGACCAACACTCTTTTGGAGGCTAAAAATAAGAATTTAAAAGTCTGGTCAGGCATCAGGTTCGGATTTGAAGATTCTGCTGTGATACCGAGAGTGACAAAACACACTGTTACAGTAGGTGGAGCTATAATGTGAGGTCTCTTAAAACATTAGCTGATAAGAATAAGCAAAAACTTGGATCGATGGTATTTCATTAATGTTTATACTAGGTTTTTGCTGTAATTTCTAAAATGTATTATCCACTATAAGAGACAAGATACTGGATTACATAGAGAACTAGCTTAATCTATACTCTGATTTTAGAAATGTAGGTAAAAGTGAAAAAAAGTAATTAGAGCACATTTTAAGATACCAATTTCTACTTATCTCTTAGTATGACAAGCGTAATTGGATAGAACGGAGCAAAAGAAAGACAGGATATATATTAAAAAATAAAAAGTAACTACTTTAAAATATAAAATTTGAAGAATTTTTATGGTAATAATCAAATGCAGCACTCTGGAAGATCATGCTTCTTCCCTCAGCCAACACACAGAGGGCCATTTCTCGTTTGGAAATCAGAAGGTACTGGACATGAAAAATGGTGTAAGTAGGATTTTTGTCTTTCTGGCACCTGAAACCTATGTAATTTTGAGAGAGGGAGTGTCTTCAAGTCACTTTAACTTTTTTAAAAAGTGGATGTAATAACCTGCACAGAAGACTAACGGATTGGAATTAGTTGCAGGTACAATGAATTAGTAGCCAAATAAAGCTAGATTTTGCAGTAATTATGATAAATTTCCCCCTGTGAGCAATAGATAAATACCATTTATCAAGTATCCACTATAGAAAGTTATACATGTATTATTTATATACATAAGCTTACCAATACAGTCCCTTTTCATATGTGGAACTAGATTATGTGTGCATCTGTATGTATACATCCACTGACTTTGGTGAAGCAATGCCTCAACCTGAGTGAAAAAAGAAACTATCTTTCCTATGTTAATGGAACAGGACATCCCAGGAATTTTTGCTTAAACAACCTTCAGTAGCCTAATATATTGGCTCCATCTGTGAGAAGCAAACTCCAGTGGTCTTGGCTGAATTAACGTCAAACCAGTATCACCCATTCCTTGGATATGAATGAATATGGATCTACATAGAAGTCAAAATACTCAGGCTTTTCTGACCCTACATTACAGGAGTGCATTGTTTGTTTTATAGCCATCAACCTGCTCAACTGAATCACGTCTGCCTGAGCTTAGCAGCTTAAAATTCATTCCACACAGCCTGCAGTGCTGACATGGATATGATAAGACAGAAGAACAGAAACACCACTCTGAAGTAACCTAGCTGAACTGCACATGTTCTGACCCTTTTTGAACTCCCCGGAGCTTTTGTTACCTGGCAAATGCAGCTCTAAAACTGCTCTTGTATCTCCAGATCTTTGCTCTTAGCCATGCAGAAGCCTATTTCTCCCTGGGACTGGCAGCGAGAAAGGTGCTCTCTGAAGAAGGCTTCTAAATGAGTGTGCATGCTGAACTCTTACTGAACTGAATTAATTATTAAAGATGCAGATGGAGCTGTCCAAATGATAAGAACAGCTCCTAACGCATCATGATCCAAGCTTTCATTAAACCATTTCAGGCATACTAATGGTTTCCCACCGCTCATTACTTACATACTCTTTTCTCATAGATATAATAACCCTGGTGCCCAAAGGCATGACAGGCTATGGAAATAGTTTAGTTGAAAGTTCCTCAGAAGACGTACTAAGGAACTTCATACTTCCCCCCATACTTCCCATCCTCATTTTGTACAAACCTGTATACAGATACAAGCTTATAAACTCAGAGAAAAATCTTTAAATTAAAGTAGTAAGCAATATTGTCAAAAAAGAGTTTATGTGCATTGACAGTACTATTAAACTGAGAATCATAAAAGTGATTTGATTAACATGTTAAAAAGCTTATCAAGGTGAAATTCTCACATGTTGCTGACACTAAGTAAGCTATACTGCAAATATGGCTCTTCGGTTACACTGCCCATGACATATTATTTTTCAGCCATTACACTTCTCACAGTTCTTCCTCCAGTCTCTCTTGCTTTCTCAGTTGGGACGATTAGAGGGCAAAGCAATTGCTAGAGAAGAATTACTCCCAGGAACTGTGCTGTGATTGCTACCTGCTGTTTCATATTTTTGAAGTTGGGAATACTGCTCCCAAAGGCCTTTTGCGTCTCAGACTAAATGATTTGCTGGAGGATAATAATGTCATGGCCAGTAAATAATAGTGAACTATGTCTGTACATGGTCAATATGATTAAATGTCCTTCACCTCTATTCTCACTCTGACCTGGTTATGAGGAAGTGAAAAAGCCGTCAGCAATGCCCAAGGCTTCCCATGTGAAATTTTATTTTAAAGCGAGGGAGAGAAATAGAGGTAACAGCAAAATACTCCCACTAACAATAAAATAAAAAGCTAGGCACAGAAAGCAAAATTATCACCACACAATCAGACTTGAGGTAACTGAACTATTGTGGTATGAAACTTCGAACAATTTTCTAGTAACGATTACAACTGCAAGAAGCAACTTCGTGTTGAAAAATATTGTCTCTCATATTGAAAATACTAAGTATATCTTTCAATTGTAATTGTAGGTTTAATTAAAAAGTCCCTATCATCCTGAGACTCGATTTAATTTAAATGTATTTAGAATAAACTCTGTACAATTATTATGGTCTATACTTAAATCTTACAAACACTGTAATTTTTCTAATTCAACTCATACACACATGAGTTTTGGCATCTACGCCTACTTCTTTGAAAATATGCCAACGAACTCAAACAACTTCTACACTGCACAACTATCTTTTCTTAAGTGACTGCTCAAGGATTGAAATAGTTTTTGATATAAACAGAGAGTAAACCCAACCTAAATATACATAAGCTTATTTCAATATTGAAGTTACCAGGAAGGAATAAAGTACCCCCAAAAGATTGGCTGGGTACATTTTTTATAGAAAGTTCCATAATCAAAGTATCAGTTTATTTTTACATGGAGAAGTAATGTAAACTATAAGCTACAAAAAGTGTTGAAAGCGTACGTCCGGCGTATAGATCTATAAAAGTCAGAAATTTCAAAATTATGCCTGGTGCATGTGCTTCAGGCTGAAAAAATAATAATGACAAAAATACAATTCCTGAATTTGGAAATTCAAGGGAACTGAACTTCTGTTAACATTTCACAACTCTACCACTGTATAAAGGCAGGGGAACAGGTAACTATTTAGACTTTCAAAAGCATGAAAACAAATTAATTCATCCTTCCAAACTATCAGCAGTTATGAGAAAAGCTCTCTATGTACGTAGGCTATGTCCCCAGCACCAGCCATCTAGAATATTTCCGAAGTATAGCCAGGCTTTAAAGATACTGAACTAGCAGAGAAAAACAAGGTGAGCCAAAATACACATCTTGCATTCACTTTCCTTCCAAATTCCTACATTGTGCAGTATTGGTATTATTAGTTTGAAATAACGGCAGATGTTTTTTCCCTGGGTTGACAGATGACTACACGCTTTTTACCTGAAAGCGCTCAGAGAATGGATAATTGATGTACGAACACAATGTTCAATCTTAAATGGACAATGGGGCACACAGCTGTGGGTGTACAGATGGGTGTGCATGCATACAAAGACTTTACTCAAATGATTGCAAGAACGTGTATATGCTTTCTACTGGTTACATAATATTCTATTATTTATACTAAAACAGATGAACTTGTATGTCTGACACATTACATGTAGCATAAATACACACAGAAGTAGTCATGGAAAAATATGCATATGCATATGCAAATACACATACAAATACTGTGTAAGTGTAATGAAATATAAGACTTATTTAATTATCCAATGCATTAGAACACCCTTTTGAGATAATTATGTTGGATAATTAGCAGTTAAATTCTGGAACATGTACAATAGTGACTCAATTGAAAGCAATAATAATGGTTCCTTTAAAAAAAAACAACTGTGTTTAGTACTTCATTGATTTTTCATATGACTACACATGTCAATACGACCTTCAGAGTTCAAGCCATTAGGAAAAAATGGCTATGCTGAAATGCCACCACAGCTTTGACAAATAATCATTTGGTCACACTCTTTAAAAGATTCCTAAACATTTACATAACCATTGGTCACATTACAAATTGTTTATAAGCATTTTCATGAAATGTCTTGTGGTATTGACTGATGTTATTCAATCTTTTTAACTTTGCTGTGAAGCAACCTAAAACGAAAGGAGAAAACAAAGTTCTTACCAGAATAATAAAGGTAACAGGTCCAATGAAACTCCAGATAAAATAGTTATCTACATGGAGCCAGCAACTATCATGGAAAAAAAGAGAATGAAAAGTGAACAATTGCATTAGCACCTCAGTCCAATAAATGGAAAGTGCAAAAATACTTCTTAAGCTAACATTTTACCAGTAAACAATGATAAACATTGCACAGTACCACTTAGTCCATGGATAATTTTCCCTAACCTGAAACTCTTCTGATGAGTCCTGTTTAATAACACTATTGAACTTAAAAATACATCATCAGAATGGCTAACGTATAAGAAGAAACAAAACCAAAATGAGCTCTCTCTCTTTTCAGTCAAGATTTGGTCACAGGTGCTATCATGGACTAATGAATCTAACATCAATAAATATTTTTCACAGGTTTTCCATGTAATCTTCAAAATCCGCTTTTAACTTTGTATCATATGCACAGTGCTTACTCCTGAGGAATAAGAGACAGAAAATGTTCAGATGCCATGTTTTGCTGAAAAACAATATGGTATAAATAAAATGCCCCAACTGGCAGTTGAACAGTAAAGAAAGAACACATATGATACCAGACTAAACAACGTATAAACCTATCAGGGCTGACTTCACTTAGCGGTTTGTTTTTCATACAGGCCAGTTCCCTGCTCACCAGCTCTTATTTGTCTTTCATCAGTAGCAAAATCAAGCAGCTTTCTTGTAGTCAACAGTATCTTCCCATTCTGTAACTAATTTCATCAAAGGACAAAGTAAACACTACTGGAAGGCAAATTCATGCCTCCAGCAACTCAAATCCTCAGAAATGTTTTCTGTCTACCTTCTGTCACTTCCTATATATAGCTGTATTTTTGTAAATCAAAGGCAGTGGCTAATTTTAATCCTGCTCTACTCGCCTGATAAAATATTATCAAAGTGAAACATATGGGTTGGAATATTGTACTGTCATAATTCGGGACGAGAGTTAGCTAGAGGGGCAGTTGAACAAAGAGATCTAATGAAGCATTAGCTTAAAACTGGGTGGTTAGGCCTGTCAGATACTTTAAGTTGAGAATTTTTACTTAATATACATTTGAGGCCAAAAAGTTATTTACTTTTTCAATTTGTTTCAGGTCAATCTTTTGTGTTGAAAGAAAGACCATAATTTAGAATCGGTCTCTCTAGAGTACGAATCCTCTGAACCTAGAGAATTACAAAAGACTTGATTGTAATTTGTGCACAGCATTGCCATTCTCTTACCAATAAAGCTTTCAGATGGTATTTCAGTCTGTCAGGGACCCTCTGACAGCTAATAGGCTTTAAAAAATTATTCACTTGAAAAACACTCAGGTCACTTGCAATTACTTACGCTTTCTCTGTTCCGTAGCTCTTATAGTCAATAGCTGCTGAGACACCAACTACTGTAGCAGGGAAGAGGTAGCCAGCAACATAATAGTACTTCTTCCTAGAATATTCACTTTCAAATACTTCTACTAACATTAGATAAAGCTGCACTCCTTCTAGACACATCCAGGCAAAGGCTGCCAGGAAGAAAAAGTGTAAGAGACCTGCGAATATTGGACATGCAATCTGCAAAGAAAAAGAAAGATGGAAATATAAACCACAAAATCTTCACATCATTACATCTCCAATTAAATAGTGTGTAATAGAACAGCATATACTTCTAGCAGAGATCTTTCACAAATTCAGGAGCATTTTCCCTACCTGAAAACTGAACATTTGAAAATACTGATGTGTGCTCAGTAGCTACAGAAAGTAAATTAGCTGAACAGCATGAATGAAGATAAGGAAATCACACCCTCACTCCCCAGTCTTCAATTATAGAGTGGACTTTTCAATTTTATAAGCAACTCTTAAATTTTGAAACTGATATGGTTTTAGGACTTACAGTTTAGATAATCTGAGACATGAACAGTTGGTTCTAGATGCATAATGTAATACCGCTTATTTAAAACTGTGAAGCGGCCACCAAGCCATTTTCATCTGCCGTAATTTGGAAGTTTCTATTGTCGTAACAGAAATCAATCTGAATTCTCTCCCCTTTGGCTGAGTTCTGGATGAAACTATACTGAATTATTAGATTTCAATCCAATGAATCGTTTCAGAATTAATTTCACCAATACTGCCAAAAAACCTGCATGAATGTGCAGTGCAAAAAATATGTAAATAGATAGATGAGGCTCTGTACTAATATATATACACAAAAAAGTAGTCAATAGCTGTTGAGACATATGAATATATAGAGGAAACGTATAGATGTTCCTAGTACGTCAACATTTAATTTCATCTCCTCTTTCAAAAGTTTAACCACCTGCTTCGTTAACAGCTGATGTTTCTCAACTGAAAATGAAAAACATTGCAGTAAGTGGGAAATTAAGGCCACAGTGATATTTTTTATGGATGTAAATACTATTTATGAACGTGTCTATCTTATTTTCACACTGAGCTTTTATTTCAGCCTTGCTGTGTCAGAATGCTGAAAGCTTGGCATGTTGTCATGTTTTAATTCAAATCCATTTCAAACAGTCATTTCAGAGAACAAGATCAGTACACACAGAGAAAACTTACCTTGTACTCTGTCTTATCGATGCCTATTAGGAAAATGAACTCAGCAATGAATAGGTTGATACAAAGGTTCTTGTGAATAGTGTTACGATCACTTTGCAGGCCACGGAAAAAACAGAATGTGAAGATGCAGATGGCCAGGCAAACAAGAGAGATGACAATTCCCACCCAGGTGATGACAGTGAGGAGCAATTCGTGCACTCCATCTTTGTACTAGAAATAACCAAGAATGGAGAAAATTAATATGACTCTTTATGAGTATAAACAAAAACCTATTTTCACACGTAGCATCCAGAAAAGTTACTTGTTCTTTACATGAGATGGGCAAAATGTACTTAGTAATTTCTCAGTCTCAGGTCAGCTTCCCAGAAGAGCAAGATTAGGGTAAGTAGAAGAGGAACAGGTCTGAGAGAAAAATGTAACTATTTTAGCCAGATCAGATAGCATTTTTACTTTTCCTATGGCTCGCTGTAAACTTGTCAGACATGAACAAGGAGAGTAATGTGAAAGTGCCACTGGACTCTGATGCAAAGAGGAGAGCTTTCCCTGGGACCTTCTATAAGAGTACATGTTCTTTCCTACAGACCTGCAACTCCACAGCGGAGAAGAAAGCAACGATTTACACACCAATTAGGACAAAATGCAGAATATGTTCCACGTGTAATTCCAGCTCTAATCTCACGTTTAGCTAAAGAAGCTTCCTTGCTTCAGTTGCGAGAGAATCACTTTTGTCATCTCTGTTATCTTTTCAGCGACCTTTCCGAATACAACGCCTTTATGAGAAGTCTCATATCCTTGCAAATATTGCGTGCTCCAGGCCCCCTGACATCCAGCAAGTGCTTTAACTAGACAACAAAACTTCAGAGCATGAAGAGGCATTTAAACAACCAGTATGGAAGCTCCCTGACCTTCCTGCTCTAAAGAGAGCTGACACTTGTGCTTCCAGGGAACAGCCTGCACAGCTGCCCCTACAGATACTCTCCAGCTGTACTGAGGGGAAGTCTGTAAAACAGCTGTAAGGTTGGTCAGTAACTCTAAAATATGACTTGAAGTAAACTCTTGTCCTTCCTTGTTTTTCTTTCCTGTTATTTTGCTTGTAACTTCATGGGTGAGGAAGGAAAGTGCTACAGAAAGCAAATTGTTTTGGAAAGAGGGGGTAGAAGCTATAAATACTTAAGAAACTTCAGCAATTTTGGATCTTGCTAAAAATTTAAAGCTAAATCTTTAGAAGTTTGTTCCCTGCCGATGGCTAGAAACATCATTACCTACCACAATTTCTCGATGAGCCATAAGAATTGCAAAGTTGGTTAGGTGACTGCAAGCACACGTTGTATGAGTTTTATTTGTGTCAACCAGTTTGCAGCCTTGAGTTGACCAGTATCCCATCATAGTCCTCTCTGAGTAGTTCCAGAAGGAACAATTTGCATTGAAATAATTGTCAGGCTGGGAGATAAAAGGATAGCAGAAAATGAGGATTTTACACACTAAGATGGCAATAACGATTGTTTAATATGTGTAAAGGGTAATTTAGATTAAACTTTGCATGTTTCGGACAATAAAGTTTTTCATCAGCAAAACTGTGGACTATGTTATACAAGGAAGACATCTAGTTTAAAAGGGACTTTATAGTCCGAAACACTCTTAAGTGTAGTCTCAATTACTGTAGACCCAATTTTAAACAATTACAATTTCCATCTTACGATTTTATGCACTGATGGTACATTATAGCCATTTTTGCTTTCTGCAAAATTAGGACTGCAAATTTATTCTGAGGATACTTTTCCTATAATTGAGAATTTGAAAAGATGATCTTTTTCCTTTGATCCTCACCTTTGGTCAGGCCAAAGTCATGTGAACAGACATCAGGAAAAAGTTCATTCCTCAATGCCTATCTATTTTGATGAAAACCAATCAAAACAGATTTATAAAAAGAGGCAAAATGAGAGGAAAATACAACCATATTTTCTCTATCACATAGTAATTATTTACTTTCCCCATGTGAGACATGAAAACAGAAAGGACCAAACTAACAAGCAAAGAAACTCATCAAATAAGTTACCATGAAGAAAATATACACAAATTTAAAGTATAACAAACCAAGATATAATACTTTATTCTTCACTGAATAAATGCATTTAAACAATTTGTATAGGCTTCCAGAACTTGGTCCAAAATTAGTGTAAAAAGTTAAAGTGTCATTAAAAGTTGCTACATCAGACCATCAAGAATCTTAACAGTTATTTCCTACCCTGCTACTAAAGTAAGAGTTAATTTTCAGTTAGAAACAAATTAGTCATTTACATTTTCATGTTGATTACTGAATTAGCTTTCATTAAGAATACACTTAAGTTCTAATAATCACTGAACCAGGCTCATTTAATTTTATGTTCATAGACTTAACTAAGCTTGTGTCTCTGACCTAGTCCAACATTTAAAATTCAAATGGAAAAAAGGTTATTTTTCTGCATTGCTTTTCTCTCTTGCTGATTTTATGACCTTCCCATTAATTCATTAGTATAACTCACATCAATGTGTTCCAGTGTAAAATGCACAGGATCAGTCAGGTACACCCGGCTAGACTCCTTGTTGATAGAAGCTGCAATGACGTGGGAGTTGACTGCGATCGTGCTATTCCGCCCAGCAAAGTCGCTGCCTAGCTTTATGGTTGCATTTTCAGTACTGAGAAAACGTCCCAAACTTTTGTAAATGATGAAAACCAGTTTTGCTAATCCTACAGAAGAAAAAAAATCCCATCATCACGCCACAGAGGTCTACAGAAAGACAGCAACCTGTACTCTAATGAACTGACAATAAAGCATCACTGAACAGAGAGGCATTTTCAGGCTACGGATTTGAAGAAAAACGCTCAGGTACCCACGATCTTCAAGAAAAAACAACAGAGCAGTTTTGTTGTGTTTTGTTTTGATATTTTAACTGGGGGAGGTAATGTAGGTTTTATAAAAGTTAATGGAGTTTCAGTGCTCCGTGCCCAAGACTCACCGTTCCTGCTGTTCTGTTTCACAGTGCTTGCAGAGAGCTGAATCGAGTTGCCTCCTTTACTGCCCTGAGGAAATTTCAAGTCCTGCACCTGGCCCTCAGTAATGAGCACTGCAACATCCAAAACTAAGCAGACCAGAAAAAAAAGAAAAGTGGTAAAAAAAGAGAATGCAGAGAAAGTCTCTTGGCCAGATTGCAATACGCCAGATGACAATATTTCCCCCCACTCTTCATTTAGTTTTCTCACACTGCTGTCCTCATTTGCCACCATAAGACAGATCTGTACTGCATGTTTCAAGCACACAGAGTTAGTGTCTAGTGCACACTACTAAAATGACAGCACTTTAATAGTGATAACATGACATCAAACCTTGTTTTAATTTGTGCCCCCAAAACATCCACTTAAAAATACCACACACATATGTCGCAGAGAAATGTTACATTTTGAAGCTCCTAACATCTACACAGTATCCTCTGCTAATAAATTTAGAACTTTAAGTATTGATTTAGATATAAAGAGTTTTTAAAACAGTCAGCAAATGAATACCTAAGTATACTTATGCTGTGTATTTAGCTAAATCAGTATTTGTATCTAAAAAAAAATTTCTATTTTTTTTCCTAAATCTAATTCTGTATAAAGGTTTATAGGAAACCATTTTATTCGTTCTGCTAAAAAATATTTAAATTGAAAAATTAGATGCCACTCAGCCTTACTTAAGATTTAATTTTATAACACATTGTATATTGGGAAGCTTTGATGGGATTACCATCGCAGGCTGGATTCCCTTGGATATGTAAAATCATGTAGGTCAGAGTAGTCAATTTCTCGACAAATATCTGCATTATATTAAACTGGTCTAACTATAGGTCTAAACTATAGACCGACAAAAGGTACGAAATTAGGGAATGATTTCTGTTTCCCTAAGCCACGCAGATGTACGTGCGCTGGGAATTCAGTCTTGCATGGCATCAGAAATGTGTTACTAACTATGACTTGAAGACAGCTTATCACAAGAAGTGATGTTCAGACAGTATACTGAGCTCCATGGAACTGCTCGTGTACATCCTGAGAGAGATTTTCTGTGGTTCTACCCACATTCCTTCAGAAACAACTGGTGCTGTTACTTTGATAATGGACTGTAACACCTTTCCCCATCCTTTCCCACTATCTACTCAAATTAAAAACTAGGCAGAATCATCTTCTACAGTTACAAATATGCAGACATTGAAACGTGAAAAGTCTCATTTCTGCCGTCTATTCCAACTCTCCATCTCGGTACCCCTCAAATTAGCAGACTTCCAGCTTCTTTGTACCTCTCTGAGACTACGTGAATCTCTGTAATAAAATGAAGGAATTTTAATTTTATGCATAGCAATGATTTTTGCTTTAACACATCCCGTGTATCACTATTTGCACATCTCTAGTACCAAACCCCTTCATTTCTCTGTCACCACTTAAATTCCAAATTATGCTCCAACTATCTTCAGCTATTCCACAGTCTCTGGAGCATAGCTATTCTGCATTATGGGAGATGTAGTTCACTGAACACATTTTTACCTGAAGGCAGTCATGTTTAATATAAACATTTGGCCTATGTTCTGAGTGCCTAAAATATTTAACTGGCAGAGTATGTTGCAAAAAAGTAATTTAAATTCATTAGGAACAGTTTATATATAACAGGAAAGCATTTCTGCAGCTCTACAGAAAGCAGTTGCCTCAAAAAATCCATACTCTGCCATTTAAGCACTCCTCATATCCATACTTTCTGCTAATGATTTTTCAGTGGTAAATCAACTTTGCAACATCAACTGCTTTCCATTTTACACTGTATTAATGACACTAATGAAGAGTGCTAATTTTGAAGAACTAAACAAGAAAGGCGTGTCTCCCCCACTTAGAAGCATTTACCTTTCCACCAAAAGTTGCGCAGCTCAGCTTTCAAAGAGCATGTCACTATCTGGGATACTTTTTCCTGATTTTGCATGAAGCAATGCACAGCACTTCAAAATATGCTTGAAAAGAAATTGACTTACCGATATTTTCTGTGGGCATTGAGACTCTAGTTGGTTCTAAGAGATTATCAGCCAAGACAAAAGCCCCTTCTTCTAACGTATCAAGTAGCATTGTGGCTGCATGGGCTTGTTCTGAAGAATTCATGTCCTTCCAGGACTCCAGAGCTTCAGGCCTGAGCAGGTTGTCCACTGTATCCACAATTGCCTGCATTCATTAGAAAACTACCATTAGGTCCGATTGCCCCAGGCAGCTGGGGAAAATTTCCAACGTTATCTGGTGACAATTATAATACTTAACTGTCAGAATGATTTACTGTGATTTAATGGCACTAGAAAACTATTTTCAACATAAAAATATTTTCCATCCTCTCGCTGGATTAGCTATTAATAGAAGTGCAGTTAGCCAGTAGCATTGTGTGGTCTCTAAGTGGTAAACATGCAGATTTGACTCGTCTCGTGTCAGATATAAAGACGGTCTTATTGATGTGCTGAAAAATGTAAAAATAAACCCCAGAAGTTTTGCCTGAAGCTTTCATCTTAAAGTTAATGTCAAAATGTATAACTTCTATTTAAAAATACTAATGCCAAAATTGGCATTCTGCAGCTTAGTCTAAAATGACAATAATACTCTTCTGGAAACTTAGCCCAACTCATGCAGCCATAGCACTATAAACTACTTGTCTATGACAAACTGCCTTCTTTATTACAGGAGGCATGAAATGAAGCTGACTCAGTGGATATAAATTAGCCCGGGACACTCTCACTCCCCCTCCTGTTCCTGTACCTGTTCATAGATACTTAAAAAGATTACTAACTCCCATTCCTGCACAAAGGTCAGTCAAAAAAGGAAATCAATAGAGCAAACAAGATGTCCACTGACTGTCCCTGTTATCAGTGAAGGCAAAACTGTAAAACTGAATAAAGCTGCTATTTTAAAAAGTCTTTCTTGTAACAACTCTATCATCATGTTTTAAGGTTCATTAAGCTGCATATAAAGTAACAGTAAATAAGGAAGAAGAAGAATTCAGTGACATGATTACATTATTTTTACAAAATAATCCAATCAATCAGAGTAATCAGTTAATCAATTGAAGGCAGGCTCTTACATTAATGCATAATGGAGCTGTGCATTGAGTATGCTGTGCATTGAGTACGCCATGCATTGCTGAAACACCCTGTTTACTCTGTCCCATTTACCTAGTCATAATGTGTCATTAAGCATATATATAATTTGTTTGATCAATTTAAAAGCATTGGGAATGGAAACAGAACACATTGTACAAATAGAAAGATGTCAGTCTGGAATACCATATTGTGCAAATAAACGAACAGGAAAAGTTGGTCAAGGCTATTGTCAGAGCAATATTAATTAGCCTAATCCATTTTAATATCCTCTTTCTGTCTGCATTGTGAGCCGTCACGACCTTCCTGGCAGGTGGAAGATACTTCGAAGTGGCATTAAAGCCTTTTTTCTTTCTCTAATGGGAGACAGAATAGTCAAAATGCTCGCACTGATACTGCTACAGCCATTAACTAGAGTGGAACAGAAATTGGTCTGCAGAGGCCAGATTCATTAGTCACCAAGAAATACAGATTGGAGCCTCTAATCTGAGGTACACATGAATCCTCTGTCACAAAGTGGGAACTTGCTTAATTTGCATAGTGTAAGTCAGCTTTTGATTTGTAATTTCAAGAGGTTTATTAGTCTTATCTAAGCAGAGAAGCCCATTTGAGACCTACAGAAAATGACACCGGTCGGAAATTAAGGTTGTGCTACGGTTTCTTGTATATCTCCATATAGCGCTGACAGTATGCATTCATTAATATGAAATGGTTTTTATTTATTACAGGATAATCTAACTCTGCACTTTTGCTGTGGAAAATGATCACCTGCCCAGTAATATTTCTGAGGCGTTCTCTCCTCTCAGACAGAGGTGAGCGGCGGTGGGAAGACCATGCGGCCCCTGTGATGCAGCTGTCGGAGCAACCCCATTACTGCTCTTCTCACGTTCATGTTTACTATTGAAAATGAAGTATGAAAACTCAGTGTACTCAAACCGTATCTGCTGGATTTCCCTTTACTATTAAAAACTATTTGCTAATATAATACTATTACAATTATTATTATTTGAGAAGTGAATTTCTCTCCAGATCTTTGTCTCTTTTTGTCAATTTTTGGCATAACTGGACTTCTCCCATCCACTTCCTGGGCTGCAGGATAAAAGACAGAAGCGCCCTGTACAGAGAAATGTCTCTTCAGTATGAGCCTGAATTATTTTATTATGTTGCAAAGCATTTCAAAGTTCTTTTCAAAAATCATTTTACATTTTATCTCAGAGGGTACAAGTAAAAATCAGTATTTTAAAAGAAACTTTGAAAAAATGTGCAATAAAATTTTTCAGAGCCAGACACGATCTGTTCTAGGACTTTTTTCTCTTCTTCACAGGCGCAAGGTGGCATTACTGGCATTGTATTGCAGAGCAGGAGCTGGCCACTATGGACAACCATTCTACAGCAGATGAAAGAAACTGAAAATCGGGTAGCAATGTGTTACCTGCCTTCCAAATAGCCTGGTTAATGGGACACATGGCACACATTTTACTAGCAAAGTTAGAGAAATGTTCATCTTTACATCTTATCCTGAAGTCACTGAATCTGGCCTTTGTAACAACTCTTAAAACTGTAAAAGTGATTTTACTAGGTATAAGAATAAACAAAGAACAAAGCAGGCTATATAATGTACATTTTTCATGCAAGCAAATTAACTCTAAACAGTCTTTGATATAAAATACTACCAAGCTGAAGTAATTTCTGTTAAGTTGCCAGCTTTTTACTCTACCCAAAGTTGTATTATGAGAGAGATGTTACTTCCAATTCAGATAATAACCATTTCTGCTCTTTTAGTTTTGAACAAGTTGAGGTAAAAGAGGTATAAAATTTGTTCTTTTTTTTTTTTTTCTGAGTGTTATACCTGTGCAAAGCCAACATTTGTACAGCTGATATGGGGCACAATACACATTTATCAAAGACTGAAATACATAGGATCATGCAGCAAGATGATAAAGCGTGGCAGGTTGCTGAAGCAGGGAGAAAGCAGGGTGACAGCACAGGAGAGATACCTTAAGGTAAGCCCTGCATGTCTTCTCTCGTTTTTGGAGCTTTTTAGTAAGAAAAAAGAAAATCAGAAGTTAGACACATTCTGGAAAGCTTCAGAAATATAAAAAAATTAGTCTGGTGTTCCAAATCCCAAATTTGAACTATAGCCTGGACATTAATCTAGTTTCTGTCCAGCGATGACTATAAAAAAACATCACACAGGAAACGTTTTTCCCCAACCTTTATACAGGTGCCCAGATATCTTTGCCCAAATGGTGGGATTTGTGTGAAAAGGCCAAAGGAGAAAATCCCTGTGTGGGCATTTGATCTGTCTCTGGGAAAACTCTTTTAAGGGCAGCTAGGGATTGTAAATAAAACTATTGCCAAAATAACGGAGGAGTGCGTGGAGCTCTCTCTCTAAAGGAGGCTGAAAAAATGTTTCATTTGTAGCTTGTTGACTAAGTTGACGCAAAGAAAAGGCCGAGAAATACAGCATTTCCTCTGAGGAAAAGAGTAATGGTAATAACACTTGTGATTTGTATTTAAACCACAAAGACATACGTTTTCTCTGAAATGCTTCTCTGAACATCATTCCAGAGAAAACACTTACTCGTGTTTTAGAGATGCGTATTAGGACATTTTTATAAAGATCAATTATAAGTGATGTTGGCGTCTTTAAAAAGCAAAAAAAGTGCTATTATTCTGCAGGAAGTCAGATTAAAATAAAACCCTGCACCTATGCAGAATCCTGCTGATTTTATTACACGTTCAGGGTTAAAAGGATCACTGGATAAACATGCTGATTTGTTACAGAATTTCTGAGAGCTAATGCCCATTTCCCTCACACTAGTTATAACGCATTCCAGATTTCAATAAGGAACACAGCTATGTATTTTAGGACCAGTCAGCTATTGTGAATTATATCTTATTCCCTAAAGAAGGTAATTGCAACTTTCCGCTGTATATTTACTGCTGTTTTCTCTTACACGTTTATTCCAGAACTATAAGCACGCAGGAACAAAGTATAGATTAATATTTCTGAAAGGAAAAAAATAAAAAAAAACAAGGACAATGGTTATCCCAGCAGGAGGAGATGACGGGAGGTGTGTACCTTGTTGTAACTCCTTCCAGCAGAGTCTTTTTCACTGGGCCGCAATTCCTGCAGCTGAGCATCCAAAATGTCCACGAGCTGCTCCATCAGCCTCACTGATGAACTAACATCGCCAGCGAAGACCGGTCCTTTGGTGTGTTTAGCCAGTTCATTGGCCAGACTAGCAGCATTTTCTCCACTTCTGATCTGAAATGACAATTTATATTATCTCAGCAGGGCCCCTTGTTCTGCTTGCGGCTCCTAATTCCAACTCCCCATGTACCTTTGTTGTGGTGAAATAACCATTTGCACATACATTGAAATCTGCAACTAATTGAGACCAATGACATTCTCTTTATCTCAGAAGATTAAAGGTTCTTAGATCCATGACACACAAAAGCAGTTCTTAACAGCCATCAAAACCAGAAATCAGACTGGGACTTTTGGGCTAGATCTTCTATTCATTCTTACTTTTATTTTATCGCCATTATCAGACAGTAAGAAATCTATTTGTTCATACTAGTGCTTGAGGCATTTGAAAGTCAAGTAGCCTGGTACTGACAACAAATTATCCAGTTTTCATAAACTTAGTACATCTCAGTAGGGAGGGAAAACACAGAAAGTGGCTCTGTGCTCTAATCATACTGTTACTAATGCACTCAGACAAAAATCTATTTATTACAGTATAATTTTTCCTGAACCAAAAAACCTTGCGGTATACCACACTTTTTGCTGCGTGATTTGTAATATTTGACTTATTAAGCAAATATAGCTTTTGTTTTTTGAACACCAGCAAAGCTACTTTGCTTTAAATAGAGATGAAAACACATAATCACAGATTCAGTACAAGAACTTAGAGGGAGAGCATACCAAAACACACATATGAACCTAACTGTTGGGCAATGCTTTGTACGCAAAGTACACGTAACTCCTTCTACTTTAAATGAATGCAGAGTAATAAAGACGGCTTTAACAAACTGAAGTATTAATGCTCAGAGTTAAAATCCTTAATCATCAGTGTACACCAGATTAAAAGGTTTCAACCAACCTTCTGAGCCAGCTGATTTACCCAGTGTGAGGTGCAGTTGCTGAGATCGGGGCCTTTGGGGTTCCACGTTCCCGTTAAGACCACGCAGAGATACGAGGCAGTTCCTACAACAGATGTGGAAAACGACCGTGAAATGGAAACCGTTCTTCTGCATGCATTCAGGAAACCGGCTACACTGTGCTCCTAAGCAATGTTAAACTCTGAATGCCGCTAATGGCAGTAGTTGACAATAATTGACAAAAACGTAAGGAAATAATGTAGATTACAAACAGCAATAAAAAAGTCAGTGAAAAGTACCAGACGTTTTCTGCAAACAAACAAAAAGCCCTTGATTTTTCCTGGAGCTCATCCAGAGGGGAGCTCATAATGAGAAAGGCAGCTGTAAGCATATTTCACAACAGTCCTCAAGCAAAGCCCTAAAATTTGACCTAGATTCTCAGAAGCGCATGCGCAAGGTAATTCTGCGGCTACGCTCAAATGCCGTTTGCAGATTAAAACTTGACCATTGCCTGTAGATACTGCATTCTCCAAGTAACAAAAAATCATGTCACACACAACTTGAGATTAAAAAAAAATTCGCCATGAGAGAGCGGCACACTGCTTTTGAAATGTCTGCTTGAAATCAAGATATATTTTTAAAGGCAATACCTCGTGTTCCTTTGGGGCAAGGGCGTTCAACCATCATTCCTCTTTGTGTCTGAGGCCAGCTAATCCCCCTGGCCTCAGTCGGTTCACAGAATCTCTCTGGCAAAGGGAAAAAACTTGTCACAGGAGGAATTTTGGTTGTGGAAACGGGTGGCGGTGGCTTGGGTCCTCTGCTTCCTTCCTTTGTTCCTCCAGCTAATGTTGTGCTTACGGGACCTTTCTGTGATGTAGTGCTAGTGGTTGACACTGTGGTTTTGTACAGCTCTGCTGAAGAAGTTATTGTCACTGCTGTGGTAGGCACTGCACAGAGAAAAATAGAGTAATAATAAAGTAAATGACTTCAGAATTATAAAAAAAAGTTCTTTAAATGTTATTTATGCAGTTTTAAAGGATTCTCTGGTGTTTCTTCTCCTTTATCTTAATATTACTCTTATTGCTATTCTGTGTGCTTAATATACAATTTTGACTATTTTTTTTTTTACTCCCAGCTCATACCACTATGATGTTTCAGCACATTCTCCAAATAATCTCTTCCGTAATAAAATTGACAGTTACATTTCTAAAGGCTGAATGGCAGGACTAGTGAGCTATCAGTATATAAAAAACATGCTCAAAGCAATTAAAGATTACTTAATCACTTCTGCAGAAGGAGTAACTCAATAGAATAATTTGAATCGGCGTGCCATAAACAATGCAGTCCAGCTTTAACAACAAAGGCAGTGGGCTGTAACTAACGAGACCATTTAAAAGAAAACAGATCTCCAAACTTCAAGTCACCCACTACACACCTTCCAGGAAAATAATTACGATAACATCTTCCTACCCGCAGTCATTCTGCTTGAGAGAGCTGCAGCATGCCCGATTAGCTCCAAACAGAAGCAACGCCTAGCACGTACGTGGTGTTCTCGTGTTTGAACATTTCGGGCCTCAACATCCTTTTTTGATAAAGCGGGTATGAAGACACAACTCGTTCAAGCCAGTGGCAAGAACCTAGTTTAATCTTTTATGAAACACTAGGATCGGCTTAGGCCAAATCGCTTCTGCCTGGGACTCGCAGCTGCTCGCTCCGCTGACCCACGTCGGGAGCGCATCCCTGGAGCTGCTGAGGTACAGCCCGAGCGATGCCACGGTTTTGAGGCTTCGGAGAGAGAAGACTAGTTAACGCTAGTGGAGGTAACAGTCTGGAATTCCTGTTCATCACCTTCAAATATATATTGAGCAACAGCTGAAACAATGCAAGTGAGCAACGTAACTGAAACAGTTATCATTAATTATTTCCAAATCTTCATTAGTGTTCACAGTGCTTTATAGGCACATAAAAGCACAGATCCTTGTGCTTAGAATAAATAAGCTCATCTCAAGTATTTTTTAAATCCTAACTGATACAGAAATAAGTGAAGCTAATTTTAGGATTAACTTCAGCGGATAAAGTGGCTTTTTTCTTTCTTTTTTTCTTCTTCTGCTAAGCCCTTGAACTCTGACTTACCGGACAATGCATTTTCTCTAAATTAAATCATAAACAAAAAAACAAAAGAAGAGCTGCCTCGCTTTCTTTCAGCAGTTGTTTTTTAAGTTAGTGTTTTGAATAAGATTAACTTTCAGTAGTTTGGCAGATAACAACTATTTCAAAATCCTTTTTCAATTATATTTCAGTTATAATATATTAGGAGTCTCAAATATGAATTTATCTTTTTATTTTCATATGCATTTAGAGTGGAGTTTTTGAACATCACAATCTATTTTTAAAGACTAAATGCAAAGATGTGCTTTTCATCCCTCTCTTGCTCACAAATGAGAAACTTCTTCAGAGGCTGTCTTCTCTTCAGTCTCATTCTTGGCTGCTTGAATACAGTCTGTGTAATTGTGCTGAACTCATGGCGCAGCCAGCTACTATGAAACCTATTGAAATCCCCAGATCTGTTCTGCAAGCACTTGCCTGACATCTTGTGAAACTGCTGTAATTTTCTTTTGATTACAATGCATCCAGCCTTCTAGTGCTTTCCCAATTAACATTTGTCAAAAGCATTTGCAATCACTTGCAGAAATGTCAGGCAACGCCTGCTGAATCAGGTCCTGGGGAACGGGGAACTGGTGAGGATGGAGAATGATGCAGGGGACAACCAATTATTACCATCCATCCCCTAACACATTGTGCTAATTAGTACATATTTAATCACTGAAATGTGTATTAGCATTATTGCAATTACTACTCAAACCCTATAATGTTTAGGATAGCTTTGTCTCAGGAGCAACATATCACTGTAGGAATTCATAACAACTCTCTGAAGTTCAGTAGTAGCTGCACCCTGACCTAAAATATCCTGCTGTCATTATGCAACTTTAGGTAGAACAATTTTATTGCTATCCATTAAAATAAATTTCAAAGCATATCACCTATGATTCAAAAATGACCTGCATAGCTTAGTTGTCGTGCATATACTTTAGAAATATATTTATAATCTCAGAATTTAGGAGAAAGACTTCAAACCACCTCTCTCACAAAACTGAGAAAAATACAGATAATTTCTAAGAGATTTTCTCTTGAATTAAATTTTTAAAAAAAGGACAAGTCAGCGTATTTAAGAATGTACCAGGAAACTTCAGACAGTGCTGGAAGGCTGCGAAAGAAGAAGGTTGAAAGAATAATAAACGACCAAACACATCACTTTAAGGAATACATCTAGCTTTTAGAAGGCAGATCATTTTGTTTTTAATGACCTGTTGGGGAACTTAATCTGCAAGGCCATTCTCCTGAGCTGCAAGAAGACACATGATAGCTGCCACCACCTGACGTGTCTCGTTCTGAAAGCTGAGGGTGATGGCATCCGCCGGCTCGCATGCACTGTCTTGCGGAGCGCTTTACCAATATAAGATAATGGCAGTGATGATTAATATGCCGCAGCTAAGAAGAAGAACAAACTCCATGTCGAGGTTATTAACCTATTGTTCCAAGCAGCAGGGGTGAGCTGCTACAAGGCTGAAGATATGATATTTTTGTCCAATGCCAAAAAAGCCGCTTTTACAATGTGAGATTCTATTTTGGACTTTTTGAGTAGGCTTGACATGCCGAGGAGAAAACAAAAACCTCTTCTGCCTTCTTCCTTTTTTTTAGGAATAGGTGTGTCTCATTATCAGCTGAAGAGTGTCTTTGTAAAATCAAAAAAAAAAAAAAAAAAAAAAAAAAAAAAAAAAAAAAAAAAAAAAAAAAAAAAAAAAAAAAAAAAAAAAAAAAAAAAAAAAAAAAAAAAAAAAAAAAAAAAAAAAAAAAAAAAAAAAAAAAAAAAAAAAAAAAAAAAAAAAAAAAAAAAAAAAAAAAAAAAAAAAAAAAAAAAAAAAAAAAAAAAAAAAAAAAAAAAAAAAAAAAAAAAAAAAAAAAAAAAAAAAAAAAAAAAAAAAAAAAAAAAAAAAAAAAAAAAAAAAAAAAAAAAAAAAAAAAAAAAAAAAAAAAAAAAAAAAAAAAAAAAAAAAAAAAAAAAAAAAAAAAAAAAAAAAAAAAAAAAAAAAAAAAAAAAAAAAAAAAAAAAAAAAAAAAAAAAAAAAAAGAGCAATAGGAAGTAAATCCAAAGACTCAAGTTGAGGGTAATTAATTTACATTTGTTTCACGCAGTTCCGAACAGCTGATTTAAACAGTTACGCATACTATCTGTTTCTAAAAATGAAGACACCACTGGAGTAAAACTTAACACCTGTTTAACAGTGTGATGTCTATAAAAAACATAACGCAATTGCCTAGGACAGCAGGGGAATAGTAACTTTGTTTCCCCAACTGACAGTGAAGAGTAGATTTAGAGAAGGCACACAAGCTATCTAGTATTCTTTGCCAACAGGTTTCTATACTAAGCAGGCATAGAATACGTTTTAAAAAAAACAGACCAAGCCAAAACAAAAAAATCCCCACCCAAAATACAACTCTGACCTTAGATTTAAACTTGTGTTGAAATGCCCAGATGATGCGCCACTTCTGAAAATACTAATGGTTCCATTTTCATCTCTGGCATCTAGGTAATTTTAGAAATCGGCTGCATGGATTTTTCAGTTAAATGTATGCACTTATAGCTCAGGTATTTCAATGTATTCGGACACGTGAAAATCTATGTGCCCGCCTTCATTTTCAAAAGGTGTCATACACTGAGCTCCCGTGTCAAGCAACGGAGATCAGAAACCTGTGCAAATCCAGATTTCCCTGCCTACTGCTTATTACAGCTGTGTGCCTGTTTTCATGCTTCAGTGAATAGCAGGGAAGTCACTAAGACTCACCTAATTACTTATAGGTTCCAGCTATTATGCTAGCCAGTACTCTATTGACCCTGCCAAATCCCGTTTAGTTGAAAGCGAAATCTTTACATAGCCATTTATAAATTTATACCCTGAAAATGGTAACAAATACGCCACAAAATTAGCAAAATATCTATGATCAAGAACTGTGCTATTTGGTCCCTGTTATGTTGTCTTTCCTTGTACAACCACTGTTTAATCAATCTGTAGTGTATCAGATTCAATCTAATAGTAAAGATCTAACAACAATTTGCTGCATGACTTTGTCGTAGATTCTTGGTCTTACAAAGATTTAGTTGCACTAGTTTCCTATTATTTCAAGTCCTTGGTGACAGTACTCTCCGAGTTTCTGTTCTGTCCACACTCACAACATCCGTATTCTCCTGCAGTGATCCAATAAAACTTAATGATGGGTATCATGGTACAAAAGGGGAGACAACTTCAGTTTGAACAGTTTGCACAGTTAGCGCAAATTGGGATGAGTGTAGATGAAATCTCTCCCTAACGCACTAACACAGAACAAAAGCATTTATCTTCTTTTTGTTACCAAGGAAACCTTACAATGTAATGCTCATATTCACTTTTTAGGGGGAAAATTCCCTTCATTCTTCCTGATCTTTTAACTTAAAATTCCTTTAAAAATTCCTATTTCAGCGAGGACTCATTTGGTCCCTTGGATACCTTCTTTAGAAAGAATGTAACAGGACATATCCACTAAATTTACCAAGGGTATAAAAACCTAGGTTTGTTTCGAATTTTTCATAGTGGCTTTTTGCAGGGCCTGATATATTTTATTTTATTTTATTTCTAAATTAAGGCTTTGATTTTTAAATGTAATTTTTACACTTAACCTTAGAAAATGAGCTCTTCTGCAACATCTGAGTGGTATGTGTTAGCTGTAGCTCTGAAAACCATTTCTACGTCTATATACTATAATTCCCATGAGAAGAGAGAAGAAAAAACAACACATGAAGAATGAGGTTAAGGGGTGAGTTCTAAGGGCAACAGACCCCATTGTCAGGGTAGAACAGTAGTCTGGCTGCAGCATCCACAGTTTTAGAAATCTGAAGAGTTCTCCTGAAGATTAAGAAAAGAAGGATATGGGGAGTACATAGCATGGACAGTTGCAAGAGGAGAAAATGGCGTAGGTTTGCAGCAAGGGCAAGGTCAACATTAGGTTAATTATAGTGGTATTTCAGAGGTTTCAGAGGCAGATTTAAAAATGAAAGAAACAACAGAGAGAAAAAAGGCAGGTTTGGGGTCATGGATGAGTCCAAGATTTTGGCCCTGGGAGCAAATGTAAACCCTTGAGCTCAAAAGTGTGACTCAAATGTGACAAATTCATCTTTCATGTAGGAAGAAAGACTGTTGTTTTTGAAGCACTCGGTAGTTGGAAGTTATGGTGTAGACAAGAACTGATAGCCAAGACAGATAGATGGGCAAAAAAAAAGCATCAGCGGGTGTCTATATATCATTATTGCTCCCACGGCAACAGAAGGAACACAGATTGCTGAATTTCCCACAATGGCCCCAAGTTAACCATTCGAACAGAAAAGGCCATGACTTCCAATTTTGAGGCACTGACCTTGTGACACCATTAAATACTTGATATTAAAGTACCATTGCAAAAGACACTAAAAGAAGGTTCTTGTGTTAGGTGACTTAATGAATGTTACCCTAACACCTATGTCTTTGAGTAGATGATTAAGAAATCTGAGTCAACCACAAAAAACCCAAACCAAACCAGAACAAAAGAAACACAAAAACGCCTTTTATCAAATGTGCTGAAAATCTAATTCCATATGAGATAAAAAAATCCAAATGTGTATTACACATATAGATCCTTTAACTGTGCAACAATAGAAGAATTGATCTTCAATTTATACAGACTTTATGCTGAAACAAAGAGGAACTGATAATACAAATAAAATACAGAGTTAGAAACTGTACAGAATCTCTTCCTGGTTTTATAGCAGTACATCTCAAGGACAATCATATTAGATAATTTTTCCTTTAATTTAGTAGTCTTTGACTACAGGTAATTGGCTTAGGCAAAAGAGGAAATGAACTGAAACATATTCTTAGATCTGCTATGTACAGACCCATACGAAATTAAAATATGGGGTATTGGCTTTATATAAGGAAAAACCTTATGTGAATATATGCATCACATAAACCTAGTGTCTTCATATGGTTTCTATATTTTTAAAAGGCCATAATCAAAATAATCAAAATATATTTACTGATGTCATAATGCATTTAAAACCCAAACTCATAAATCACTCAAAAAATATTCCTTCTCTGTCTCCATGGGTGCATGGACAAAGAGCTCAGACGAGAGGTAAGCACCCTGCAGTGTGCCCTGGACCCCTTCTCATCTAGGTCTGGTTGGAATACACTGTTTCTCTCCCTGTCATGCGTGCCAGCAAAGAACCCAGGAACATGAAAGGGTGCTTGTGGATGCCCAGATCTCCTTCTGATATTAGATGGGATTTGGCCAGCACATGTACCATAACTTAGGATCTTGGAGACTCTCTCATAGTAAAAACATTATGAAATGTCTTACTGGAGACCTTTAGTGGTTTATTAAAGCAAAGAGAGGACTCCACAAAGCTTTTTTTTCTTTCCCTGTTCTTCCTCAACACTTTCCCCTCAATACAATGGTTTAAAGATTAGCTTTTGCCACATTCATGGGAGCTGCCTGAACTGCGAAAGCTACTTAGAGCCTGCACCTCCATTTTCTCCTCTAACTATTAAAGCTTTGGAGAATTTAAAATGCATCTTCATCTCAGTTAAACCGAATGAAAAGTGACATGCATGAGAATGTATGAAAATGAAAGCTATAAATGTTTTCTAATTACATAGGTGGGTATGTCTCTGCTAAGAGCAGCCCCAAAGCCTCCCTGAGGAACAGACTAGCTTGATGTACAGAGCAAAGCTTCCCAGGATAGCTGCCCTCACAGCCGGAGCTCAGTCCCCAAACACCTGGAACCCGCCTGAGCCTGGCCATGTAATGCCAGGGAGGTGTGCAGGAGACAGATTGGACAAATCTTCACTTGGCTCTGGAGATCACTAATGTATTGGTTCTAAACTGCCTTGTTCTGCTGCATCTTACGTACTTTTGTACCTAGGAAAAGCTATACGTATGTTGATCCAGTTGTGTGCACACTATGTGGTTTGCACCGCTGTGCATGGATCAGCTTCACTGAAGCAGGATAGCTACTTTTCATGTGGAGAAGCCATTATTACTACTTTTTTGAAGTAGAAAAAACGGCTGCTAAACATGCATACCAGTTAGATGAGAGAAGTGAAGTGTTACCTTCATTGCTAAAGCAGCTTATCAACATTCTGTTCCTTGCTGCATGCATCTTCTGCCACAGAGCGTTTCTCTTGGTATTTACTCTCCCCTGCAGATGTTAATATGTGGCTATGCCTGTTCATGTAATTTTGAGGGATTTCTGAGGCCTAAAGAGCTCTGTTTTTCTCTCCTCTTTTGGCAGTTAGTGTCTTTCCTTTTAGGTAGTTGTTCTAACTTCAAGTGAGCTGAATTGCAATTGTAATGGACTTACCAAGAAACCTGCTAAAAAGAGGTTGGATAATCTCGTCTAACCTGGCATTAGAAACTGTGAAAATAGGACTGTGGAAAAATATTTATGCTTGGTATTGCACATTAACCCCATACATCTCCTCTGGGACCCCGCAGCACGCATCATTCTCAACTGCTGGCGCCAAGAAGTTAAAAGGTCTGCATGCATGTTGTAATCGATTCAGAAGTCAGGTAACACCGAACGGACAGGAACAGGCTTCTGGCTCAGCGTAAATGAACTCAACTTACTTTAGCTATAGGAATTCAAACTGACTGATGGTATAAAGTAAATAAACAATTCCCCAACTCATTCTCAAACCCAGAAAAGCTAAACACTTGTATAAAAAAAAAAAGAAGAAAAGTACAAGCCTGTAAACCAAATAAAGTAATTCTACCTCTCCTCACAGGTTCTGTGAATTTGCCTTGCACCAATGTAATGCTATACTGCTCAGCACAGCGCAGACAACCAACCCTGCTTTGCCTTTCCGCCAAGAGCTAAGTCTAAGATCAAAGATATTGTAACATAGCTATATGAATGGAAGTATAAAGAGATTAAAAATGAGAAAAACCAAATTCTTACCTTGGGCAGGATCAGGTGGGCCAAACTCCAAAGAGTATCGCAGAATGAAGTTGTTATTCCACACGTACAGCTGGTTGTCTCTGGGGTTGTAATCCACTGCAGCGATGTACTGGTACTGGTTGGGGAAAGGAACGTCCACATGCTCGCCTCTGCTTAACCTGGTGTTGTAGATGTAATCGATGGCGTTCTTGCCGGTTTCGCTCTCGTTGTCCTGATACACCGACCGCACTACGTACAGGACACCACATATCATGAAAGCATTGGATGCTGCCCGTTTGTCGTACGTCGTTTCCCAGGTGGCTTCGAAGCGCAGGGTGTAGGGGTTCAGCTGGCTGATTACTATCATCCCATTGTTTTGCTCCGTAGCATAAATTACCCATAAGCCATTTTCATCAACTGCCAAGTCAATATCAGTCTTTCCTCCCCATCGGTATGGAGAGGTGTCATGGTAATTAGCATAATTGATTATGGCCTCTCCACTCTTAATTCTAGTCCTCAAGTCGAATTTTACTATGTTCCTAGTTCTTTCCTTGTTAAAAAAGACAGCGCCATCATACACTACAAATCCAGTACCATCCACTCGATTTGGGAGTTTATAAGTTGTCTGCTGGCGTCCGTTTTGGAAGTCCTCTAAAGAAGCATATTCTATCAAAGTATCGGTGCGATACGGAGTCCATGGCATGAAGTATATTTTATCTGCAGCCTGGAGGGGATCTTTGCACCAAGCACCTGCTTTTTGTTCAGCTTCATATAAATACGGTGAGTCCACAATTGCTTTCAACGTCCCCGGGCAAACAAAAACTAACAGTCACAGAGAGAAGTAAGACAAGAATTACGTCAAATTAAGACTGTCTCATAATAAAAAGGAAAAAAAAAGAAAAAAAAGGTAGGTAAATCATAATGACTGTGTCAGGAAGAAAAAAAATCAATTTAATTGGCACTAGATTATACCTTATGTTATAATTAATGCAATTATCACCCTTTATCATCCACTTTTCTTAAAGTTACCATGTTCTTGCTGTACCAGTATGGAAAGTGGATGGGAACTGTTTTCACTAGTACAGACCAAGGCTCAATGGCATACACAGACAGCTGAAAATGTAGAGCTACTCTTGCATTTTCGTCTTAGACTTTTAGTGAGTACTCATTAACGCTCCAGAGCTTTTAACTGGTGTGCAGCAGTGCGCTAGGTCATTTCAGTCCAAAAAAAAAAAAATCACATCGACTTGTTTAGAACTTTAAGAAGTGGTGAGGCTGAAAAAGGAGGTGCCTCGATTAAAAATAAAGGAACAAAACAAATCATCAGGTATATAGAGAAAGCAATTAGGAGCAGAGAAAACAAAACACAACCAAAGCAATGAATGAAACAGACCAGGAAACCCTGTAACCATGGCATGCTATGGAGAGGGTTCTGGAAGCCAGGCAAGATGACACTTGATTAACAAGAATTTACCCAAGGGTGAGAGAAAGAGAGGGAAAGAAAGACAAAGAGAAAGGGAGAGAAAAAAGCAAGGGAGTCTTCCCTCCAGCCCAAGTATTTCAGACACTATACCCCGCCACCTACTTCAAGCAGCCAAGTCACTTTATTGCAAACAGTCGACTTCTTTATGAGGTGTACTTATGAGATCCTGCTGATTATCATAATATAAAGAGTGTTGTGGGGAGGGGAAGGGAAGAGGTTAACATCCATAAGGCACATAACAAGGAGCTGGGGTTTGGACTGTATACGTTATTTACCTTTTTGCTCCACTTCTATTTTAAGCATCGGAAGAAAAATAAAAAAGTGCAAGGAAAAAAGAAAGAAGATTAACATAAATTGACTATTAATCTAAAGATTAAATTAGTAACAGACGCTAAATATAGGGAGAATAAGAACTGCACTATATTGGATAAAGAGAAACAGACAACAGGAAAACCTAGCAGGAGAGAGATTCTACGGTTACACAAGTGAACATGGATCAATCATTTTAGTAGATTAAGGAGGCAATACAGATATGTTGGCATGTAGTTTCACTTAGTGAACCTGAATAAATAATGAATTACTTTACTAATGCATGCTATACATACTCTTCTTCTCAAAGCATAATGCTTATCAAGTTGGTTTTTAAGTGACACAATGATTTGTCATATATGTGCGAAGGCACATATACATATTATATTAGTTAGATAATTATAAATCCAAAATGCAGTATATTAATTATATAGGTTTGTATGTGTGCTTATTAAACCTTCCCCCATCTTTGCCCCAGACATCCCTCTGCTTTTCTTTCTTGTAAAGAAAGCAGCTTGCATCCTTTAGCTCTCCTTAGGCTTTATTTTATTTTTTTTCCTGAACGTTAATCTTGAGAACTTTTGCCACTTTGCCAGTCTATAACTGCAAAATCAGACTAGAAGGAATAAGCAAAAACATCTAGAAAAAAGAAGCAAAAGCACAGTAAGCAAGAGGAAAAGAGAAGAAAAAAATTAACATTTAGCTCATTCAGATATTCTCCAGCATCATCGATTAAGCCCGAAACAGCAAGCTAGTATGCAAGGACAGTCATACTAAGTGTTTAAAACAAACATCCATCCCATCACCATACATGGAAAACAGAAACCGAACCCGATTAACAAAGTTACGTTACTATAGCAATTTTTCCCCAAGGAAGTTTTAAGGAACATATTACAGGAAGACGTATAGCTGAAGTCTGGCTAGTAAATAGCTTTCCAATAATTATTTGCAATAAAATCTATTTCATATACTCAGTAGCCTTTGAAGTATGCTCCCTTAGTTTCATAAAATGACCTGGAAAATGACAGATGTACCAATCTGTGTAACAGTAGCTGCTGATACCAAAGAAGTGTATCAAAACTATTTGCACAGCTATTGCATTTTCAGTATTACTGTATTATCCTGAAGAATGCATCTGTACGTTTCATATAAAGTTTTGGATTTTCAGATTCATTTAACAAAATTACGTATGATTATTCTGAGAGAATGGTATTGGCTGAGCCGATCTAGTGTTTCTTCAGGGAACAATTCCAAAACTTTATGGGGGACTGGGAGGGGATTAATATTGTCAGAATGAGCAGTAGTTTTCCTAGCCTTTGTTCATTTATACATCTTTAGGTAAAATAGTTGTTTTTCTGCAATTTGTAATTCTTGAGTTATCCGAGTAAACAGAAGATATATTCTGAGGTGAATTCCTGGGTTTCACAATCAGTGTTGATGGCTTTCAGACGATTCTGTTTGTGAACTTTTGTGCATAAGTTTATTCCTTGCCAACAAGCAATATTGATATCGTACCTGCTTAGAATTAGTAATAGGAGAGGGGGAAAAAGATAGGGATAACTAAAATCATTACTGGCATGTCTGCTCTGCGTGCATTGGTGTACAGCTGTACATTTTTCAGAGACAGATGGGCTTATTGAAATAAACAAATGCTGCGAAGTCCAATCAATACAGACAGAGAGAGAATAAAACACTTTAAAACGTTTTCTATTGAATTCCTGAGTCCAAAAGAGGCTTAAAATAAAAATGCACAGATGTACAAAATGGTACTTTTGATGTTCTTCTTCATGAAAGGGCTGACTTCTGTTATTCAGTCAAAGTGTCAACATACATTGTGCAGCATAATTGAGAGAAATGTCAAGTATGGTACTCTCAATTTCTTTGTAATTTAATCAATAACACTCTTATTTTCGGACAAAGCAATGTCTATCAAATTTGTCTAGAATTTTAGTTTTGTTGAGATCCAACTGGGTATCTCAATAGTTGTTTTTTGTTTTGTTTTTTCCTAAAGAGGATTAGAAAAACATCAACAACAGGTCTACACTTCGAGATGCAAAAAAAGCAGCTTTTCATTAAGTACTTTCTTATGAGGGCGATGAATACAGAACCCAGAGAAAGCTCAATCAGTATGTATGATCAGCAAAGCAGCTATGTATTTCTGGAGGCCAGCAAGACATAAAGGAGCTCATAAACTGCGTTTTGTACAAGGGTGACACCAACTCCAGTGTGTAAGAACTCCCAACTTTTACCACATCACCTGGTATGATTGCTATTTGTAATCTCTCATGGACTGAAAGGTGCCACAGTGAGACACAGCAAATTTTGCAGTCTTGCAGTCACTGAAGATGAAGTTCAGAAAAAGTAAGAACCATAACTGAACTTTGGTTAGAAGTTCTGTGATCATTAAAAACCTCCCTTCCTAGACCCACAAAAGCCTATCCCACCTTCCTAACAAGTCTCTTATGCTGGGACAGCTGCTATTTGCAAACCTAATGATTTCAGTCATTCCGTACATTTAGATATGGAGCACTGGAACCAGTAAGGGAGAAAAAAATTAGACTTGATAACTGGAGCTTATCAGGCATCAAAAAAAGAGACTTGGAAAAATACCAGGATGGGCTTTGTGGGACAGGGAAGAAAGATGGTCAACAATCAAAACGGCTACTGAAGCACAATGTGGTTTGAAGTCAAACTTCAAAATTGATTTTAGTGACTGGCAACCTTTTTTGATGACTGCTGGCAATGACAGGTGATACCTCGTACAGTTCTGGAATTGGGCACAGTGTCATCGCTGTACATGCTGCAGCTGACAAACTCCAAAACTTACAGACTTTGAAAGACAAGAAGTATCCAGAATCCTGAGTTACGATAGACACAGAATTACATTAATTCAAAGGGTAGGCCAATGCAATTGACAGTAAACAAAAATAAACATTTTAAAAGTAGAATAACTACACGTTAGAGTACAGGGTAGGCCGCGCTGTGGCACTATACTTCTGAAAACTGGAAAAGAAAAGATTCCTGTAGATAGCAATACCCAATTGGTAGAACATATCCACACTTCTCTTCCTAAAACAGCATAAAAAATTATGTTTGAACATTATTTGCGTTATACTTTTTCTCTACGAGCTAGCCTACTGGAACTGGAAACGTAACCTCTTGTCATTTGACTGACCTCATGGTTTGGAATCAGATGCACTGCCCTCTTTCTGAGAATTTGGGAATGAAAATAGTGCTAAAGTAAAAGTGATCTTTGTGGAACAAAACTTTGGTTAGATTGGGGTAAGACATCACTCCTCAAAAGTGGCACGAGAAGAACGGTTACAACAAGCCACCGGTAACTACACACAGGAGGAATGGTACTAGGGATCACTGTATGCAGTAGGCTTCCAATCCTACAAATGGTACAGAAAAAACATCAGCAAGCAACCATTTCACAATGACACAGCAGAAATGAAGAAAAAACAGATGATCTGTGTTTGGCCTTTAACAACAGTGAAGGTTCAATGTGGTGAAGCAGTACAGAGTAGTATTTCGGATTAAGTCATCTAAATTTTAAAATTGTACAGTAAACCGTATGGACAGTTTTGACATAGCTTTGCTTATGCCAGAACTCATTTCGTTCCTTTTTGGATATATACTGTCACCACAGTGTTTTTGCATCTCAGACTTGGCCTGTTTCCTGTACCAACAGAAAATGTGACTTTGGTTAAGGATTACTGCAGATCAAGAAATTCACGCTTAATAATAACTTAAATGAATGATCAGTGCACTGCTCAAATGCCATTGCAAACACAGCTATTTCTCTGTTGAGTTATGGGACGAGGGAGAAGTCACTGCAAAGAATGACCTTACAAGAAAGCAAAACCAGTTAAAAGTGTCGAATCTGCAGAACTTTTATAAACATGCATACATGTCAGTGAAAAAAAGCATTAATTATTGCAAGGAAATAAGAAGTATGTCTAAAGCTACTGAATTCTGGCATTAGAAAAAATATTGTACAAAACTGCTGAAGTAGCCGTAACTTCAAATTTTTCTGTCTCCATATGATTTCAGTATTTACTTTGTTTTCGGTGGAAAATTCTGTTTTGGCAGTTGATTCAAGGCACAATTCATATTTTCTCTTTACATTAGAAGTGAACATTTCTTTCTCTTTTCCCCATTGCTTTTAAGAACCAAGTTTAAGTAACTTATTGATGAATTATTCACTCTGAATCTGCGTTCACTTATGATGTGCCCCTGAAGCACAAAGTCCTCTTACAACGTCCCCCAGCTGGGGCATTTGCCTCAGAGTGTCAGTGTTGGGTTTTGCTGTGCACCCAAAGTCACCACAACAGCAGGTAGCCTTTCAAGTAGATCATGATTAAAATTGCAGTCAATTCCTGCTTTAGAAGTCTGTGAGCCAAGCCAATTTGTCAGCAACTGGTAGCGGGCAAAAGTACAAATTTCTATCTGGCCTACTGAATAGCTAATTCGAGTTTGTTTTCTGGAAAAACAGTAGCCTTAAAAGCCAAACACTTAAGAACACAGACAGACACTTGGCCAGCATCACACCATGGCTTCCTTCCACACTTCGTGAAGCTAATTGGAGGCCCTAGTCTGCAAGTGCTCTGCATGCATAATGGGTCCGTGGGCCATAAACATATGCTTCTTTTCCATGTAACAGCACTCCAGCTTTAATTGTGAAGGCCAGAGGAAGTGAGCAAGAATAAAAAGATTATACTTACTGTAAGGAACACATTCATACTGAACTTCTAGGTATTTGTATGTTCCAGGACAAGGATCAGGAAACACATCTGACCCAGTAACTACTATACACTGTGTTCGGTTGTTGCACCTGTAATGGGAAAAGAAAGCAAGCTAATTAATTTAAAATTACATTTAATTTGCAAGTTCATACTGAAGTACTATATGCAGTGCTAACTCTCTTCACACTTGGGCAGTCCAATCTGTAAGACAACAAAGTTAATTAATACTAGATCACTCAAAGTCCATAAATAAGGCTTCAAGACAGTATTTCAGTTCAGGCTTTATACTTTTAAATTTGGGGATTGATGTTATCTCAGATGTCACTTGTTTCCACTAGTACATATAGCTGTCCCAAATATATACTGATTTGATACTACTGTTCAATAAAATCAAAGCAAAATGCAAAGATGATACAAAATGAAAAAATGTGTAATTTTGAGTAATGTACAATAACACAAATGAACAATTCCTTCCATCTTTAGAGATATACATACTGCTGAATGGTTTTACATCTCAGATTTTTGTTGTGGTTCAAGGAAATTATTTTGGTTGGAAGAGTTATTGTAGACAAAGAGCATTAGCATTTCCCTTTTAATTATTTTAGGAGCAATTGGTGGACTCTAAACTTCCTCTGTTAGGTTACAGGAAGAGGTAAAGAATGACCGTCTGAGGAAATAAGAAAAACAGTTAAAAAGAAGAACTGCAAGAAAATTAATTAAAATGTATTTTAGAGGAGACTAAATACTGAAACATATTATCTGATTTGCTTAACAATGGAAGCAAATGCATTTTAATACAAAGAACAACTTTATTACAATGCCCCTAACCATAAGGGTCTACTGAATTTAATGGATTTTTACGGGTTTTCTATAATAATAATCAAGAGATTTTAGACTACTATTCATTTTTCCAGAAAAAAAAAATAGCTTGGAAGTGGAAAAACAATCACCTAACCCTGAAGAGATGGTCAAAATGTAATACAGAAAAAATAGAAGGAAGTGGAAGAAAAAAAAAGAGAAGGTCAAGGAGTTTGGCGACTAAAAGAAAAAGAGCTTGGCTGATCTTCTTAGGGGTTAGTTTTGTTTGTCAGCAAACTGAGTAACAGAAGTCTGAACTTAAGTAATAGTCTAGCCTTTGACTCCAGCTGTACATCAACTTCTCTATTGCCCTACTACTTCCCACATTCCCTGAATACCACATCCCAAGCTAACATAACCTATCTTGTATCAACGGCTTTCCACAGCTGTACATTGCCAACAGGTAGAAGAATAATTCACGCTACCTCATAAAAAGTAGAGCAAGCACATTTGAAGAACTCTGATATAAATCACGTTCCTTTTTATATACTAATCAAACTAGCACAGAGCTGGTCAGGGCATACTGTGCCTCTTGCTGAGCAAACTCGGGAACAACAACTCTTCTGACTTTATTAGTTAATTCTTCTTTTCTTTTTCCTTTTTTTAAGCTACCTGTTTCTAGCCTCATAAGGCTTATAATTGTAGCACTAATTGGAAATAGCCAGGGATTTCTGTATATACACACAACCCTGGATGCAGAAAGATGGTGAGGAATTCACCTGTCACCTCTGCGCTGCTTGTGGCAGCGACTTTCCAGAGAGCACAGGCAGGTCCCTGTACAGCTATCACACAGGTAACGCCGCGCCACTCCCAACAGCACTATTATTCACTGCAACAGCTCATGCAGTATGTTAGGGAGCCTGGAACGAGTATGACACATCCAACAGCTTTCAGACTCACGCTGAAGTGATGAAATGTGCACCCAACTTGCAGAGAAAATCACGGTGCTGAATCTGTAATACTGAAAACATACAATACAGCCACTTTTTTGTACCCACACAAAGGTCAAAGAGCTGCTCTTCTGTGTGTTGTGTAGGAGGAGGCTGTAGAAGCAGGAGAAGGCAATACGGCCCAAAACCTCAAAGGTATCTCTGCTCTAAGCCCTGTAAGGGGTTTTTTATGCCCCACACCTCAGGCCAGACTAACCTGCATGAGAAACCTCAGATGTAAGAATTTGTAATTAATTTCTTTAAAAGTCTTTCTGTTTCTTTAGTAAAAACCTTATGCTGAAGCCAAAATAATTCCTACAAAAAGACTTTGTGTAGTGCATCATTCAGTATAATGATTTCCACAGCTTTGAGCTGTATGAAAATTTCATTTTACACTTGAATGAGCAGCAATTAAGAGAGAAATATTGATTTGTTACAAAATAAAACGGATACATATTGGGAGAAACTGCTTGAGAATGAAACTGATGAAGGTCATATTTAGCTGTGGGAAAAAAAAGTTTTACTAGCAGTATTTGTAAATCTTCTGAAAAAGATGGACTCTTGTCTCCCTATGAAAAGTTGTTTTCTTCTCTTTCATTTTCCCTCAGTGAAAGACTCATAATGTTGCCATCAGTCAGGAAACCGAGAGGAACTTCATGCTAGCTTGTACCAAAAGGATGTATAATAATAATAATAATTCAGAAGAAAATGCAGTATTTTTTTCTTTGTGCAGTAAGTGCCAGTGTCAAACTTCAGGCACTGAGTGGCATTTAGAGGAAGTTGTTGACATTCTAAAAACTTTTGACTCTTTCTTTATGCAAGGCTTCACCTGCTGAGCATATGGTCACCTTTTGCTCACCTTTGGCCAAAATGAAGGAGACCCCAATTCCAAACCACTGAGCTATGCCCACTGCTGCAGTACACAGCAGTGCTACAAAGCACAGCAGCACCACCTCCCCAAGAAGTGCAATTACTTGGATAGCTGAATGAATAGAAGTATTTGTGCTTTAAGTTGTAGCTTTTTACATTCACATCACTGATTTTGCTGCATTGCTGGTTGCATTTTATAAAACATGAGTAATTTTCATATAAGGTTCTGATTTTCATGCACTTCCAAGATTTCAAATTAAAGACACTTGATTAACATGTGAAAAAATGGAAATTTCAGGTAACTATTCGTTACATAGTTAGTGGTCAAATTCCAGCTCCAGTGAAACCTTCACAAAAACCCCACAGCAACTAGAGCAGCTGTCAATCCAGTTCATGGGTTACGGAGAAGAGATGAAGAGTAAGTGGACTTCATAGAGGTAGTTCTGAGACAAGCAACTCAGGGAATTTACACTACTGTGATTTGTACTCTGGATACCAAACGGAAGTCTTCTGTCTGCTGCACTGTTGGTTTTTTCCCCCTGTAAAACCAGGGATACTAATTTCTCTGTTAGTTATTGGCCTACAGTTCTGTTGCTGTCTGCAAAGACCATTTTACAAACTGATAAACGTTTCAGTTGAGCTTCTTTAAGACAAGAAACACTGAATTCTGCCTGGCATTTTGGACAAAAGATATTCCACTCCTCATAAAATAGCACTAAACAGCAGATTATCCTACACGGCTACAGATTGTCAAAGCTACTGCATCACTGCCATAGCAGAGCTTCATCATTTTGAGAAACCTTTACACTTAGAAACGCTACGCCCAATGCAGAGGATATTACACTGTTACACCTTCAACTCAATCCCGTGACCCATTTTCATTCCTTTTTGTAATGGGCAAGCCCTTTCTGAGTGCGGCCACTTCATGGGATTCTCCAAAAGACTACAGTGGAAATAAAGTTCCTGGCGATTTGCAAAATCGGCCTAGACATCATCAGGGGGAAAAAAAAAATCCAAACTCCAAAAACCTTAACTGGCAAATAACTTGGAGTCCCTCATTCATTTTAATCAACGTTATTTTTTCTACACAGTACACTGTTAGTTTGGTCCATCTATTCAAACTCTTTTAGAATTATTCCAGCTGAAGGCATGATACAAACCAGCTCCAATTTCTGCAAATTAAGAAGTCAAATCACAAATACTTTAGTGTTTCAGGGTCTGTAATCTAGTGTTTAAGTTTTCTATAGGTTTTAAGTACCATTTAAGTGTTCTGTAATCTAGTTAACTGCCTACTTCCCTAGCATATGTTAAAATACTCAAATTCTCAGGCTTTTATGTACAATCTTAAAATTCCTATGATCTCACACCGAGAAATGTCTTCACGCCTAAGACATTCACAATATTCACAAAGATTTATGATACAATGACTTTGTCATTTACAAGGAAATAAGGCAGATCTGCAAAGAACTCTATACAAACTCAATAACAGTTGATTTAGGAAAGGTAATATATGAATTAAATTTGAAACCCTAGTTAGGAAAAGACTAACTGTAGCACTGAAGGAACGATAATTCAGGTTCCTGTGCTAGCAGCAGCAGGAGTTTTGCAAGGGGAAATGTAGGCAGTATCACTATTCTCATGAATGCAAGGAGCAATTGTGTACTCTAACACTCGTTTCTTCAGTATTTTAGTATGAATGAAGAAAGGTTACATTTTCATAATGCAGATGCATCACTTAGAGTAATCTGAAAATCAAATGGAGTGTTTAATTAACAGTTACAGTACAATGTCTGAACTCCTTTCACCTCAGGAAGAAGACTCTGCAAATGAGGAATGGCCCTTTCACATTTCAGATGAATACAGAGAAAAAGGAAAGTAAAGCAGCTCCAGCAGGGCTGTTAGCAAGTATCTTCTGCTCACGATGTAGCCATGTCCCTGCTGCATCCATCTCGTTCTGTGCTCAGCTTTAAGGACAGCTGTACTTTCCATGATAATTTGTTTGCATTTCAACTCTAATCTTGACTTCTACAATTCCCAACAAATTGCTTTTGTTCTTTTTTTATTATTTTATGCTCATTATTGCACTTTTCCATGTGCAATGTATGGAGATGAGATTCCATGTGCAATCTATTGTGTGACGTGTTTTAATCAATAATCTTGTTCTGCTGATTAAGCAGGGGCTTCTGTTCTGGCAAGATAACATTAGTTTCTCCTGTCATGCTCCAAAAGCTATTGGGAATCTTCAGCAGATCATTAGATATGCTACAAGAAAGCTTTGGTACGTTCTCTTTTCTTTCTTAAATTACTTCTTCACTGTCCTATCATTCCCCGTCACCGCTGGCACTGCATTATTATTACAGCTCCCCTGAAACCTGCACTAGAGCTATGTCTCCAGGCCATAGGATGCCATTTTCAATTGAAGCTTCTGCTTG